TGGTCTTAGAAGCGATTGGGGGGGCGATCGCCCCCCCTCGCCCCCCCTTGGCTACGCCACTGCAAGCATAAAGCAATATGTATGACTTCTTCTCTTGACGTTTCTTAGCTCGATACGTTATCGGTCCAGCATAATCAATTCCGACAACTTCGAATGGCCATGCTCCTTCACTTCTATTTCGCGGAAGATTGCCCGGAGGTGGTTGAGCAAGGGCGGTAGCTTGATTACGTTTGCAGCCATAGCACTTCTTGATTACACGCTTCATAACACTTCGCAGACGAGGGATCCAGTGCTCCTTTCTGATTTCTGTCATAACAAGTCCCACTCCCCCATGCAGAGTTTGCACATGAGCATCCATCACCAACTTTTCTGTAAGTGTTGACTTGTCAGGAAGGTATACTGGGTAATCTCCCTGGATTCGACCTTGACATTCGAACAACTCTTTGTCATTTCTCTGTAAGATGAGACGCTGTCGATCTTCCTCGAACTCTCTGGTTCCTTGACATTTCTCTTGCACTCGCTTTACCCAGAAGTCGACTTGAACGTTGGTTTCTGCTGTCTTTAGAGGACCTTTTATTCTTCCATGGTAAGCCCAGTAGCTTAGTTTCACCTTGCTGCACACCTAGTTGCTCCTTCGCATAAATTTGTTGTTGGTCAAGGGTGGATGTGCTGGTTGTTTCTAGGTCGCCAAAAATCGTTTGAGATGTTTCTTTCAAGTGCAGGGCTTTGGCTGGGGTCTCTCCTCCACCAATAAGGTCATCCACAGCCTAGTCCCAGGCTCTCTCTCTCTCTATTCGCTTCTTTGATATATTTAAATAAGTCTTAAAAGTTTTATGCCTGGGTGTGCTGTGCGGAACGCTTCAGCGAGAGAGCCTAGCAGATTTCGGTAAAATGGTCCTTGATTTCAAAAAAGTGGTCCCTGGTCTGGTTACCAAGCATACCGCATTTGTAAATGGCAAATGTTATGGAAATTTCCTTAGCGTTTATAATTAAGTCATTAGTTTCGCTCTAATGCTGTCGGAACAATCGCTACGTTTCGCTACCATACGGTCAGAATGGAATAACGGGCTAAATATGACTCGTGTTTACTAAAATATAAAGCCATATTAACTGCTATCTAGAAGCTTGAAAATTATGCCGAGTCTTCGACTAAAAATGTTTTGACAACACAGTCATGTCAGGCAAATTATTATTATTATTATTATTATTATTATGAACTATATTTTAACACGGTACAATTTCACCTATACTAAAATTAATTATGTACAAGATATAAAAAGAAAAAAGGTGATCTTCCAACCGGCCGTGCTCACACAAACAGAAATAAGAAATAATTACAAGAAAATTATTTTAGGTAGATGGAAACAATGGCAGGATCACTTGATGTTAATTTGCATGCTTCAAGTTAGATTTAAAATTAGCAATAGTTGTTGATGCTTTTACCAATGCAGGAAGGCAGTTCCAGACTTCCGCACCTCTGTAGGAGAATGCATTTTTCATACTATTTGTTTTTGGTTTAGGCAATGTCAAATCGACTCCCGACTGTCTTGTGTTATGGTCGTGTACATCACTAACATTTGTGAACATATCACACAAGTAATCAGGGACCAATTTGTTTTTCACCTTGTACATGAGAATTGAAAGTTGTTGCATTCTTCTTTTTTCGAGGTTCGGAACTTTTAGCTTGTTTAATATATCAGCCGATCGTGTCGTATAATTCTCACGAGTGGTTATTCGAAACGCTCTGTTTTGTAATTTTTGGACTTTAGCTGCTAATGTTTTCCCTAAGCAACCCCACACTTGAGCACAATAATCGAAATAAGGTTGAATTATGGATTGGTATATTGTTATTAAGGTATTGAATTCGACTGTATCCCGGAGTCGTCTGAGAATAGCAAGGCCTGAAGTGACCTTTTTTGAAATGTGTTCGACCTGTGCGGTCCAGTCTAAAAACTCGTCTATCATTAGGCCCAATGATTTTGTCATTTCAACTCTCTTAATTTCTAAGTTACCTACACTGATAGCAGGATCGGCAGTCACTTGACTAAGCCTTTTCTTGGAACCGATTATCATATATTCGGTTTTACTATTGTTCAGAGTTAATTTGTTTGCGGACAGCCAATTTGCAACATTGTTTAAATCTCTATTTAATTTTCAGTGATAACTTTGATATCGTCA